TAATCCTAGCATTCTGGGAGCCTGAAGGGCGTGGATTGCTTGAGCTTAGGAGTTTGGGCACTCAGCCTGAGCAAGAGTGAGACCCACCACCCTCCGTCTCTAATAAAAATAGAAAAACTAGCAGGGTGTTGTGGCGGGCACGTGCAGTCCCCGCTATTTGGGAGACTGAGGCAGGAGGATCTATTGAGACCAAGAGTTTGAGGTTGCTGTGAGCTATGATGCCATGGTACTCTACCCATGGTGACAGAGAGAGACTTTCTCAAAAAAATTTTTTTATGTGAAAAGATAATTTTTCAAAACATAACAAATGATAATTTTCTTGCTATAAAAAGAGCTTTAAAAATTAATAAGAATAATTCTACGAGAGGTTAAGTGGCACAAATACACAGTTAATAGGAGAAATAAGACATAGTGTATCAAAGATCAGTAGTGTGACTTTAGTTAACAATAATCTAGCATACATTTTGAAATAACTAGAAAAGAATAATTTGACTATTCCTAGAATTAAAGAAAAAGATAATTAAGATGATGGATCCTGATCTGATCTTTACATATCATATGAATGTGTCAAATTACCACATATTATATATCAACAAAAAGTTTTTTAAAATTAATAAGAATAATTCAATAGGAAAAATGGACAGGGAAAGTAACACAGTTCACAGAAAAATAAATACAAATAAAAAGCTCATATAAAACAGAAGAAATGCAAGTTAAAATGGGATAGTTTAATTCATTAGAATTAAAAATCAGATAGTACCAAGTATTGGTGAGAATATAGGGAAACAGGTACTCTCGGACTATTGTGAGCAATATAAGTTAATACTGGATTTTGGGATTCAGTTTCTAATAAATATCAAAACTAAAGCTGATTCTGCAGTTCTGTTTCTAGACATGTATCCTAATTATTCACTCTTATAAATGAGCAAAGGTATGTATGCATAGAGATGCTCAGGTTTTATGTACGGTTTTTTGTGTGGACATAGTTTTTGCTTCTTTTAGATAAACTCTTAGGAGAATTACTGCTACTCAGTTTATAAAGAAAGTGTCAAATCATTTTTCAGAGTCTCTATATTATTTTCCATCCCTACTAGCAAAGTGTGAGCGATCCATTTTTTGTGCATTCTTACCCAAATGTACTATTTTCAATTAAAAAAAATTGTATTCTCTACTCTCTTCATTTTTTCTTTTAATCACCCTAATGCCCATAGTTTACATTAGAGTTAATTGTGAGTATTAACTATTATTTAGTTAAGTATTATTTAGCTATTCTAGTAGGTAGGTAGTAGTATGTCGTTGTGGGTTTTTTTTTTTTTTTTGCAGTTTTTGGCCGGGGCTGGGTCTGAACCCGCCACCTCTGGCATGTGGGGCTGCTGCCCTACTTCTTTGAGCCTCAGGTGCCACCCTGTCATCGTGGTTTTAATTTCCATTTCCCTGATAGTTAAATTGAATCTCTGCATGTGCTTATTTGCTACTTGTACATCCTATTTGATGAAATGTTTATTCATATTTTTTGTCCATTTTCTAATTAGGTTTCTTTTTGTCATCAGTTTTGAGAGTTCTTTATACAATCTAGGTAAAAATCTTTTGTCACATATATGGTTTGCAAATATTTTCTCCCAATCTGTAGATTGCCTTTTCATCCTCTTAACAGGATCTTTCACAGAGTCTAAGTTTTGATCTTGGTGAATTTTTGTTTACCAGCTTTTTTCTTTAATAGACGAGGCTTTTGTTGTCATCTGTAAGAACTCTTCACCCAGCCCCAGTGCCCTGCGTTGATTTCCTAGGATCGCCATCCCAAATCTCCACAAACGCGGTGGCAAAAGCAGAGATTTATTTTCACCTCCCACTGTGGGCGGAGTAGATGTTAATTCTTTTCATGCGTGTTCATTCCTACCACATCTCTCTAAATATAACATTACACTTATTCTTAAGCTTTTTTTCCTAGTAACTTTCTTTCTTTGGGTGTCATTTCTTCCATTCTTTGGTACTGTGGCCTGTGCCACATCGCGCCTGTGGGTACCTACCTCTACATTCACCTTTCCTTAATCGGTTTTGTATTCTTGGAGCTGGATGCCTAAAATGACATACCTTATAATCCTTTGCCAGACAGGTTCCAGTTAGATTCTACATACAGGAGACAGCTGCAGGGCTGAAGTCTGGAGGAAAGAAGGAGATAGTCAGTTTAAGGGAGTGCCCTGGGCGTGGGCAGGGGCTCCCGTTTAGCAGCCGTGGTGGAGATGCTTGCAGGACACGTGGTGAGTGTAGGGTCCCAGGTTGCAGTCCAGGTGCAGCAGCCACTTCCTGATCTCTGGGTAACGCCATCTTCCTCCTCTTGCCTCTTCAAAATTATTGTAATAAATTCCTTGATGAGAACAATATTTTAATATCAGAAGTGATTCAAAGACACAGGTTTTTGAATTTAGGGTTGCTTAGCCGAACTGACTGGGCTTGATTCGTAGTGGCCTTCTGGTTAGGGGAAGTGGTTGCAATTAGTCTAACACCTGCAATGCCAAAACAGAAACTAAGTTATTTTCTGAGGTTGCCTCTGGTGAAGTGCAAATATAGCCAAGTCTTTGGAAGAGATAAAAGAATGTTTCCCTTTCTTGACATTTCCAGGGATTTGGGGATGGAGCGGAATGCTGCAGACGTCTTCACTCTGCTATCTTGCTCCAATCTTCTGTGTTGTTTTTCAGGATACAGTCATTATGCTTAGCAAGTTCAGTTAAAATTATTTTTAGAAGTCATAATTAAGCAAAAATGAATGGCAGTACTTAATAATACTCAAGGAAAATGCGGTCATTTGGTCTGGGGTTTCCATATCCCAATTCACTTCCTAACCTGGGCTTGCACAGTCACCGGGGCTTGCTGGAGAAAACGATCACATTTATTTGCTTATGTCATTCTAGGTAGTAATAGTTCTGTCCTGCAAGAACAAGACTAGCCTCAAGGCATTTCTGACTGCATGTCTTTTAGTTATAGTCTCCAAACCAGTGGGGCACCACATCATGGCCTTTGTGTGGATGACAGATTTCCCTGAGGTCTCACAAAATGACAGGCTTTCACAATGTCACTGGCTGACAGCCAGACCCAGCATAGTTGTGGGGCGATTTGGGGTGAAAGTTGTTTTACCTTGTGCAATAGCTAAAGCCTGCTCTAACTAGCTGCATTCCCATATGGTTAGCAGAAAAGCTTTTTGTGATAACCCCAAAGCTACCCTGAAGCACATATATGAATCTTGGGGCCTCCCAGTTTACAGGAGGGGTGAAAGACGCTGGAGATTAGAAAGTATGTGGATTTGTTAGTCCGACAGATCTGTGTTCAAATCTCGGATCTGTGCTTTGAACAAGTCGCTTATACTCATTGCACTCTGAGTTCTGTATTTGTAAAGTGCTAGACGCATCGCTATCTCCAAAGGAGGACTGAGTTGATCATTAATTTATTCATTGGTTTCATATTAATTTTCACCTACCTTGTATCAGGCTCTATCCTAGGAACTAGGGGCACAATATTTAATATGCAAAGCCCCTACTGTCATAATGTTTATGCTCTAATAAGGAGCCACAGACAGCAATGCAAACCAAAAGTAAATAAGAAAACACTATGATAAAAATAAAGCAGTGGCGTCACTGGGCGAGGCTGCAGTTTGTTTTCTCCTTGGTCTGGTCTGCCTGCTAAAGGACAGAACACTTCATTTTTCACAGGATGCTTATCTAAGTCAGCAGCCCTTGGAGAGGCCTCATTATCCAATCATAGTGGCCCAATGTGGCTTCTCTAGAAATATTTGCATATTAGCAGGAGGTCAAGGCCTTCCATCTGACTTTTACTTGATTTTACTACTGGTTTTCACTTGAATGCTGGATTTCTAGGCTCTGTGTGGCTAGTAGTGGTCGTATTTGGGGACAGGCAGACACTTGTTCAGCTTCTGCCCCACAATGTTCTGTTTCAGAATGTCTTGCTGAAGTTGTTGCTGGCATCCTCAGCGCTTCCTGGGGCCCTAATTTAATTCATCAGTATTCGTGGCTTGCAAGAACCGGCTCTGATGCTGCTCTTCAGAAACAAAATACGAGTTTGCCATGAAAGAGGCCAAGGTGTTGAATGTTGCCACTTCAGACCCAAGTCGTTTAGGAGCACCTAATGGGTGCAGCTTCCAGTCCACCAGGCTGCTCCCCTCCCAGCCAGAGCTGAGTTCCCCAATAGGTAGGATTAGGCACATGTTTAAGGCACTGACAAAACCTGGGTGCGTGTATACACACACACACACACACACACACACACACACACAATTAGCTGCCAAACCTTATCCTAAATTTTGGAACAAGAAAATCTTAAAAGATGGTATTCCAATGTCACATTGTATGTTAACTTCCTGTCACTGGAGGCACGGACTTTAAGAATTTAGGGCCTCTTTAACTTACCAAGCCCCACAATACACTAGGAACTTCCCTGCACCCCAACTCTCAGGATTAACTGCAGGGTCCAGGCCAGAGTGTGGAGGATGTGTTCTACTTCTGACCCTATTGTAGCCCTTGACAGTTCTCCCTTCTGATGCACTCAATGTCTGAGCCACACAATCTCACATTCAGTCATGAGCAATGGGAGAAATGTGATGTGATAATTACTGTTCCTGACTTGTTAGGACAAATCTATGGGAGAGAGAAGTCTCCTGGACGACTATGCATTGACACAAGGAAGTTTCTCCCTCAGATGCAGAAATAACCTGTTTTCCTGCTGTGGTCTTGACCCTTGCCCCATCTCTGTTGCACTTGTAGAAGGCACCGTAAGGGCTAAAGCCTGGAAACACAAATGTTTTCACTGAAGCTCCACTTGGCTTCTCTAGCTGAAGCTGGGTTGCACCAGCTTCCCTGGGGTGGAGGCTGGAGGCAGCTGCCAGGGGCAAGGTGCCCACCCACAGGCCTCTGGCTCTTGCTGGCCTGGCCAATGAAAAAGGACGATTGTGAGGTGGGGACTGCCTGCCCTGTGAGTACCAGGCTGTTGAGGCTGAACCATCTCCTCCTCACGTCCATTCTGACTGCAGCCTGTGGTTCTGATTCCACACTGGAGGGTAAGAGCAATTTTATTAAGTTCAAGGCTGGGTGGGGGTGCCACCTATAGCCATGGGCTCTTCTGTCCACAGTACTATGGGGACAGATATAGGCAAAACTCAGGTTGGGGCAGCACTGGCAGAGGCAGATAGAGTTTGGGGGTGCTCCTCAATTCTCTGCAAGAGAGCTGTTCCCTCTAGTTACATGCCAGAGATCCTGAGTTTTGCCCAATTCACTCTGCGGCAGGATGCTCACTGAGAATAAGGTTGGGGTCGGTGAGGCAGCGGGGTTCCTTCACAGATGAAGGCTCGTTAGATGAAGGAGAAAGGGCTACGCTGCTTCTCAGAGGGGAAGCGGAAGAAGCATGTTTAAGGGCAGCTTGAGAAAAGCCAAGCTGAGCTCTGACCTCAGATGGGGGTTTGGAATCCTCCACGTTTTGATCAGACTGAGCAAACATTACTGGAGCAGGTTCTCTGGGCCAGACACAGACTGGTTCTCAAGATACAAAGATCTATGCGTCAGGGCTGTTGTCTGTAGATGTGGGAGAGCTGTAGGTATGGGGATATACCACAGAGTGATTGAGAAGTTCAAACGACATAAAGTGAAAAGAGCCTGGTGTAGAGTGGGAACTTCTAAAAATTATATCAGCTTGACCTTTGCCAAGCCCAATCCTATGTACCCTCATGAGTGCTGTGCCTGGGGCATCCTGTAGTTTTTAGCTATAGCTGCAGAAAGTCAGCATGGGAGGGACCTTGGAGATCTGGCCAACACCTTATGCATGAGAGGACAGGAGTCCCTGGTGTGGGATGTGGGTCCAGATTTGGATCAAGCCTCACCGTGTGGGGTCACCTCACTCCCAGGAACTCCATTAACAGTAAGGCCAGCTCCACCTAGGTATTAGGTGAAGAGGTCCCTTCATGTCAGCAGAATATGCCCAGGGAACCTGATGGTGTCAGCTTGGTTCTAGAGCTGGGCAGTCGGAAGAGAGCCCGGCAGCTTACTCACCAGTCTGGGGGAATCTTAAGGACAGACATAGAACTTGCTCCTTGTCTTTTTAAAGGTGGCTGCAGGGACAAACTTTCTGCATACTCCTTGTCAAGCCAGAGGACCAGTGGTCCCAGACACTTGGCTGAAGCCAGGAGGTAATGGCTTTTGGAGAGTAGAAGCTTTCAACCAGGAGTCCTTCACGTGGCGGAGGACTTGTCCTAAAAATGCAGTGAAGGATGCTCCGCCTTATCCGTTCCTTGAGAGGATGAGTGTATGGGTGTGTGTATGTGTGTGTGTGAGCGGGTGTGTAATGTATGTATGTGGGCGTGTATGTGAGTGTGTATGTGTGTGTTGGACATGGACATAACGGCTCTTGGAGGGCTGAATGACGATGTTCCTGAGAGTCAGATAAAGCTGAGTTGATTCTGGGTTCTGCCATGTATGACGGAGTTGTACCATGTGAAATTGCCAATATTCTGCACTCTGACCTTTAAAAATGGCAGTTTCATATAATTTAACCCTATGGTTGCATAATCTTAAGCTAGCATCTCAGCCTTTTCAAGCCCCGGGTTCTCCTATACATTAGAGTCAAAAGCAGAGCTATGGGAATATTATATGAAATAAGGTTCATATAATAAGTTTCAAAGTGACTCATGCAAATTATACTCCAAAGAATGCTTACCAATGTCAAAGGCTTCTCATGTTCCTCATCTCACATGATCCCAGTTAGCTGACTGGGGAGCTGAGTTTGACAAACACCATGTAATTCTTTCAGAGGCTTTGTCCCCCTGGGTAGAGTGCCCTGGCATCACAGCTCACAGCAACCGCAAACTCCTGGGCTTAAGCGATTCTCTTGCTCCAGCCTCCCAAGTAACTGAGACTACAGGCACCCACCAGAATGCCTGGCTATTTTTTGGTTGTAGTTGTCATTGTTGTTTGGCAGGCTCGGGCTGGATTTGAACCCGCCAGCTCTGGTGGATACGGCTGGCACCCTAGCTAGCAGGCTAGCTGCTGAACCTGTTTTCGGAGGCTTTGTAATGTGATGGAAGTTTCGCTGGTCTGGAAGTCAGAACAGGGGTCTCTCGGGGTCGTTTCCTTAATATCTCAGTTTTCTTGTCCCTAAAGTTGAGATCATTTTCCTTCCTTCATGAGGTTCTTGTAAAGATGAAAGTAAATAGCGGGTAAACTCTCCTGGTGTGGGAACTGGCTTCTGTGCGGATCTAATTAACACATCCCTTCTCCCTCTCCTCAGCCCCCCCACGTGTAAAAGTGGGACAAGGAGGAGATAATTTCTGGGGCCCCTTGGCTCTGATATTGGAGGATTTTTTTCTTCCTGCCCTTTCCTACTAGTGGAGTTGGCACCCGGCTTGGTGACCTCTTCCCCCCAGATAGCCCTGCCTCCTGTCAGTCCCAAAGGGGACCCTGGGCTTGCATTTCACAGAATTCTGCTGTTGCCACTAAAACTGCAGTAGGTCGAAGTGAAATTTTTCATATATTTTAACATGAAAACAAGAGATCATACAATGTCCCTTGAGATCCCCAGAACATCATGGTTGTCCCGTTGTATAATCTTAAAAGTGAGCAAAGCCAACCCTGTGCAGGATTTGCCAGAAAACCCAGTGCAGTGATTTGCATTTCAAATCTCACCTTTAGTATCTTTTACTTGTTATCTTTGCGAAGAAACTGCTGACCTCTCTGGTCCTCAGGTTTCTCTTGTGGGAATTGAGTCCCGACTCTTCCGGTGGTGTGGGCAAAATGAGATTAAAGGGGTGAGGGGTATGCAGAGGGGGTCTGTAGCAGGTGGCCCATAAATACTTGTTTGTTCCTTTTCTTTTCACTTATGAGGGGAGCACTTTATAAGTTTACAAAATATTTCTTCATACTTTCTGTCAATCAGTTCTCACATTCACACTGAAATAGGTTAGGTGAGGATTACTAGCCCATGTTTATAGGTGAAGGACATGAAATCAGAGAGGTGGAGGGAGGCAGGTAAGTCATTTAGAGAATTAGGTGAGTCCTGGACTAGAAGCCAGGTCACTTCAGAATCTGGGGGTCTTTTTTTTTTTTTTTTGAGACAGAGCCTCAAGCTGTCCCCCTGGGTAATGTGCCATGGCATCACAGCTCACAGCAACCTGGGCTCAAGTGAGTCTCCTGCCTCAGCCTCCCAAGGAGCTGGGACCACAGGCACCTGTCACAATGCCTGGCTATTTTTTTTTTTTTTGGTTGTAGCCGTCATTGTTGTTTGGCGGGCCCCGGCTGGATTCGAACCCACCACCTTAGGTATATGTGGCTGGTGCCTTAGCCACTTGAGCCACAGGTGCCAAGCCATTCTGGGCGTCTTTTGATGCTACTTTTTTCTTTTTCTTTCTTTCTTATTTATTTATTTATTTTGGGAGACAGAGTCTCAAGCTGTCACCTTGGGTAGAGTGCTATGGTGTCACCGCTCACAGCAAGCTCAAACTCTCAGGCTTAAGTGATTCTCTTTCCTCAGCCTCCCAAGTAGCTGGGACTATAGGCGCTTACCACAACACTTGGCTATTTTTAGAGATAGGGTCTTGCTCTTGCTCAGGCTGGTCTCCGACTTGTGAGTTCAGGCAATCCACCTGTCTTGGCCTCCCATGGTGCTGGGATTACAGGTGTGAGCCACTGCGCCTGGCCTGATGCTATTTTTTTCCTGTATCCCCCACATGGAAAGGCAGGATGTGTGACTACAATGCTTTACTCTTCCTGGGCTATGTCTAAGAGTTTGTTATTGGTCTTGAGAAGATCAGAGTTTGATTTCCAGCTTCCCTGTGTTTAGTTCTGTGATCTTTCCTCACTTCTAAAATGGGTACCGTCATAGCTAATGTTTACTGAGCACAATCTAAGCTCTGTGCACAGATTATGCCATTTGATCTTCCAACAAACATAAGATGGAAACCCATTAGAGATAAGAACAAATTATTCACGCCTCTGCACTAGGATTAGAGCTCCTGCGCTCCCCATTCTGCTCGGTACTACCTCTCCAAATGGTTGTGAAGTAAGGACATTGCAAATAATACAGCTTCATGAGCCGTGGGAAAGTTTGCTTTTCTTGCTCTCTCTCTCTTTTTTTTTAAGACAGCCTGTTGCCCAGGCTAGAGTGCCATGGCCTCAGCCTAGCTCACAGCCTAGCTCAAACTCCTGGGTTCAAGCAATCTTCTTGCTTCAGTCTCTGGGACACCTGGAATTACAGGTGCCCACCATAGTCTCTAGCTAGTTTCTTCTTCTTCTTCTTCTT